CAGTGCCACGTCAGCAGTGCCATGTCAGCAGTGCCACGTCAGCAACAGTGCCACATCAGCAGTGCCACGTCAGCCACAGTGCCACGTCACCCACAGTGCCACGTCAGCAGTGCCACATCAGCAGTGCCACGTCAACAACAGTGCCACGTCAGCAGTGCCATGTCAGCAACAGTGCCACGTCAGCAGTGCCATGTCAGCAGTGCCATGTCAGCAGTGCCACGGCAACAGTGCCACGTCAGCAGTGCCCCGCCACCATGACGGGCGCAGCTCTGGGCATGCCAGGCCAACTGGCCAACGAGTCTATTGCCGACTACAAACAGCGGTTCCAGACTCAGCTCGCATTGATCGAGGCTGAGGAACAACGCCAGCAGGCAGCCGAGGCTGCCCGCTTACAGGCTGAACCAGCGGCAACAGCTGAGAAGCAGCGGCTACAGGCCGAAGCAGATGCAAATACCCAGGCACGCCGTAAGGAAGCACAGGTTCTGCTGCAGTGGCATGAAGCCGCCAGAATCGAAAGACTCAAGTTCTGGCACTTTCAACCGTCCAACGGCGACGACGCGACACCGGAGGAGCAGCACAAGGAGTTCCTCTCCAAACTCGTGACACGGTTGTTATACGCTTGCAACTACCAACAGAGTCCGAGTTAGAGAGACAGAACCAGGAACTGCAGCAATAGTACGAGGATCTGAAGAAACAGCACCAAGAGTTGGCAAACCTCCGCCGGGAAATGCAGAGCCACGAGGATGCTACACGGGCACTCTATTCCCGTGTACTGGACCTGGAGCAAGCTGTACCAGGACCAGATGCAGGTTCGTCCAGCAGTGCACCCTCTAACCGCCAACTGGAGGAACGCGTTGACCACGTAGTGGCAATGCTAGGAGACATCAGTGTCTTCACAGAGCCGGCCACCATCAGCCAGCGGTTCGATGTGCTGGACACCAAGATCAGTCAGCAACAGCAGACTGACCACAGCCACAACAACAGCTCGGCGAGGCCTTACAAGATGCCGACGTTCCGGATCGAGAAATTTGATGACTACACACATCAAGACCCGGTCGTCTGGTGGCAAGGATTTACAACGGAGTTGGGGATTCACGAGGTTCCCGACCATCTGTTCATCAGCGCTCTGTTCATCAACACGAAGGGAGGATGTCAGATCTGGCTCAGCCACATGGCAACCATCCACGGCGTCCAGGTTTCAGACCTGTACTCCTGGGAGGATATGACAAAGGAATGGAAGAAGCGGTTCATCGTCGACCACGCCCCGACACTCGCCATCAACCGCATCTTCACGATGGCTCAAGGGAGCACACCGACACGTGACTGGCTCACGGATTGGCAGAAGATCGTGGCCACGCCCGATCTGGACTTGCCATTCTCGCATCTGCGCCGTGAGTTTTTTAACAGGTCATGCGCTGCTCTCAGCCTCGCACTTGGTGATCGCGTGCAGTACAACACTCTCGCAGAGCTCATCAACAAGGCGAGAGAGATCATCAAGATCAACTGTCCAGCTGCACACGAGAAGTCAACGTGGCAGCCAACCTATGTGGAGAAGGTGAGAACTGGTCCGCGACAGCAGCAGTTCGCTGCAGTCCAATCGGACAACACTGTGGAAGACCCGGCAGCCACCCAAACGTCACGTGAGGGAGATCAGGTGGCTGATGTCCAGCCGCGAAGCAACAACAGGCCCCGAGTGAACGGGAAGGCGAAACCAGCATCGCAGGCCGAAACGGACAGCCAGCACCATGGGTCAAGTTCAACTTGACCGAGGCCGAGTACAAGTACCACGGGCGTTACGGCTGCTGTTACCGGTGCAACAACACCAAACACAAGACCTCCCTTTGCCAGGATCAGGCCAAGGAGGATGTGCGGCCTCGTATTAACTCGGGAAACTGAGTGTCGCAGGAGGTGAGGCGACTCCACCTCCCACTCCGCCAGATTCGGCCGCTTGCTAGCGGCCTCCTACACATCTGGGGAGGATGCGAATGTCGTAAGTTCTCGGTATGCTTACGAGGACTATGTTGTCCACTTGGTCCCACCGCTGGACCAACCGCTCCACGTGCAACAATCTACCGCATGCACGGTTTTATCACCATTGGCAACCGATTCGGCAGCTTCGCCGCCATCTACCGCCGGGGATTCAACGTCATGGTCAAAACTAGAAGAGCTCGACCCGTTGACATTTGTGGACTTCCAATGGATGCCCCTTCCCCGGTCCGGTCGATTGCCGAAACCGCATTGCAACGTGCTCAAGGCACAATTGTGGGATTACTTATACACTGCAGTACCAACTCCGTTGATGGACGTCGGAGTAGAGGTTGTCGACCTTCACGCCTACATTGCGAAGATCGACTGCGAGTTCAAGACGCGACGGTACGACCACATCGATGCACCATTGCTATATGTACGCATTCAGATCGGAGAGGCGACCTGCAACGCTTTGATCGATTGCGGAGCATCTCGCAACTACATGAGTCAAGACTCCATGGTACGCGCCGACCTTGGCCCACGAGTCCGAAGAAATCCCAGCCCACGCAAGTCACGTTGGCGGACGGTCACACGCACAAGTCAATCGACCTGTGCATTGATGACGTCCCAGTATACTTTGCCCCTCACGCAAGTGAGGCGGTGTCCTTTGATATCCTGGACCCCAAATTCGACATGATTTTGGGCATGTCATGGCTGCGAAGCAAGGATCACCCGGTGAACTTCTACCGCCGCACCGTTCACGTTTGTGATCGGAACGGAGTACTAGTCCCATGCACGGTAGCTCCTCCTCACCCTTCAGTCAGCTGTCACTTGGTATCCACCGCAAGCATGCGAGCTTCCATCATCAGAGACGACATCGAGGAGATGGGGGTGTGTTTTCTCCACGCCCTCCCGCCCCATGACGCTTCACCGACGGACTCATCTTCGGATCCACGCATCACCGAGCTTCTTGACGCCTACGGCGGCGTGTTCGAAGGCCCGCACGGAGTAGTACCGGATCGGCCCATCCGCCACGAGATCATCCTCGAGGACGGGGCCGTACCTCCGCACAGTTGCATCTACCGAATGAGCGAGGAAGAGGTAAGTGTGTTACGGGCACAACTCAACGACCTTCTAGAGAAAGGCTGGATACGGCCTAGCTCATCGCCATACGGTGCTCCTGTTCTCTTCGTGCGGAAGAAGAACAAGGATTTGCGGTTGTGCATCGATTATCGCAAGCTCAATGCGCAGACGATCAGAAACGCTGGCCCTCTCCCACGCATCGACGACCTTCTCGAACGACTGGGCAGCGCCAAGTTCTTCTCCAAGCTGGACCTCAAGTCGGGATATTACCAACTCGAGATTTGGAACGAGGATCGCTACAAGACCACGTTTAAGACGCGATATGGGCATTTCGAATGACTGGTTATGCCATTTGGCCTTACGAATGCCCCGGCCACTTTCCAAGCGGCTATGACAACGGAGTTCCGACACATGCTGAATCGATTCGCACTTATCTACCTCGACGACATCCTGGTGTATAGCCGGAGTTTGGACCAGCATGTGGAACACCTGCGCATTGTTTTGGAGCGGCTACGACAAGCCAAGTACAAAGCCAACCGCGACAAATGCGAATTCGCGCGGAGTATTTGGGACATTATGTGACGCCGCAAGGCATCCGTCCGCTTGCGGACAAGATCGAGGCCCTCCGTGTATGGCCCGAGCCCACCAACACCACGGACGTTCGTTCATTCATGGGGTTGGCGGGCTACTATCAGCGATTCATCACCGGATACTCCAGGATTGTTGCACCTATGACGAGATTACAATCGCCRAAGGTGCCATTCGTATTCGATGACGACGCACACCGGTCATTCCAAGCACTCAAGACGGCCATGCTCATGGCACCCGTCCTTAGCATCTATGACCCCACCCTGCCGACGAGAGAGACTACGGACGCTTCCGGCTATGGCATTGGGGCAGTCTTGGAACAGCACGACGGCGACGACTGGCACCCTGTGGAGTATTTCAGCCACAAAGTGCCTCCCATCAACTCGCTTGATGATGCAAGGAAGAAGGAGCTGCTTGCGTTCGTGATGGCTCTCAAGCGATGGCGGCACTTCCTCCTTGGGCGTCGTAGGTTCACATGGGTTACGGACAACAACCCACTGACTTACTACAAGACGCAGGATACGGTGAGCAGCACGATCGGACGATGGATGTACTTCATCGACCAATTTGACTTCACACCGAAACATCTTCCCGGCCTCTCCAATCACGCAGCAGATGCACTCTCGCGAAGACTTGATCTTTGCGCTATGACACATCATGCCTTCGCATTCGACGAGGAGCTCCAACGACACTTCATCAGGGGTTATGAGTCCGATCCAGACTTCGCCACGCTATATGCGCAGCTATCTTCGGATCACCTGCTGGCCAGCCACTATCGCATCGCCGATGGGTACTTGCTCCTGCACTCGCGGGGCAAGGACTTACTATGTGTCCCACGCGACCGCCATCTTCGGACTCGCCTCCTCGGCAAGTATCACGATTTGCAACTCGCCAGCCATTTTGGAGTCAACCGCACTATTGTACGGCTTCGACAACGATTCCGATGGCCCGACCTCATCACCGACATCACGAGGTATTGCGACTTTTGCGAAGTTTGCCGATGAAGCAAACCCCGCAACCGCAACCCCTACGGCGAGCTGCGCCCGATGCACAGGAACCCGGTCCCTCCATTGCCATGGATGTCACCGGACCATTTCCCCGCGACCGCCTCGGACACGACGGCATCCTCACGGTCGTGGACCGATTGAGTAAGTACGCGGGTTTTCTCCCTTGCAAGTACTACTCCACAACTCCCGAGCTGGCACACCTCGTGCACACCTGTTGGATTTGTGGCCACGATGTACCGGAAGACATAGTCAGCGACCGCGACACTCGCTTCATGTCGGGATTTTGGACTGCTCTCATGCAAGAGTCTGACACGAAGATGAAACCAAGTTCGGCTCGGCATCCTCAGACGGACGGGCAAACGGAGCGGGCACATCAAACCGCTCAAATGATGCTTCGTACGCTCAGCCGTCCGGACCAGAAAGATTGGGTTGACCGCCTCCTCGACATCGAGTTCGCCTACAAGGCTACAACACTTCGGTGCACCCGGCGATCGGCGTGACTCCATTCGAGTTGCACCACGGTGGACGGAAAGACCGTATCTTCGCCGACCTTCTCCTCCCATGACCAGTCGACGTCGATGCCGCTTGCTGTCCTGCTTCCGTCCGGAAGTACAGGGAATTGCTGCCTCAAGCCCGTGCGAATATGCAAAAGGCTCAAGTCCGCATGCAGCAGCAAGCCAACAGGCATCGCGTGCCATGTCCCATCCGCGCCGGCGACCTGGTTTGGGTTTCCGCGGAAGAATTTGCACTGGAACAGGATGTATCACACAAACTGCTTCCCAAGTGGTTTGGACCATGACCCGTAACATCGGTCGCGGGCGATGAGCCTGATGGCCCTTCATTTGTAATCAACATTCCCCCGCATCTGACGGTCCATCCAGTCTTTCACGCCTTAAAGCTGGCAACATACACGCCAGCTAAGAGCGACGACTTTCCGGGCTGACAATTGCAGGACCCTCCTTCTATGGATGGTCATCAAGAAGTTGACCGCGTCATCACCGATCGCAAGTACGGCAACAAGCCGCGATAGTACAAAGTTACATTCAAAGTCTGCGATCGCGACGACACTCGGTGGATTTCAGGAGCAGATTTAAAAGCATCCGCACCGCTGATCTACGCGGATTATGAGAAGCAAAGGTTAGCTCAGGAAGCTTCACGACCGGCCCCTCCCACCCAGACTGTGGTCCCTCCCTCAGACAGACAGCTTCGCCCTCGCAGGTAGGCTCAGTCTTTCAAGGAGGGAGGGGTGTGGCATACTGCGTAGCCAAACAGGCCCTGCAGGGCCCGTCCCGCACTTTCAGCCTAAAAGCCTAGAAAATAGGGCTTACAAGCCCCGGTTATTTCAGCCTGAAACTGAAAAATGAGGGCTTGCAGGCCCTATTCCGTTTTCAGCCTATTTCTGGGTCTTTCAGGCCCAGAGGCTTTTCAGCCTGAAACGGAGGGTCATTTTCAGGCCCTCATTGTGTTCGACCTACCCTAAGACTCAGGCAGAAAAACAGGGTTTCGGGAGCAGGCTATTTCTGGCCTGTTCCCCACGACAGCTCACGCAGGAGCTGCAGCGACAGCCCCTGCCTCCCTTCGACATTGGCAAGAGCAGCCTCCTGGACTGCCTCACCTGCAGTCAGGAGGCACCCGAGTAGTACATAGGAAGTCCCATGCACTTCACGGGTAGGTAGTTAAACAGTAGGCACGAGTAGTCTTCAGGATTCAGCCGCAGCACTCAAGAGGAGCGCTGCCAGGAGTAGCTTAGCGCTAGCAGTAGTCTTCAGCGCTGGGCGCTAGTAGCCATAGCAGTAGTCTTCAGC